GGGGTCCTTGTTAAATATCTGATTGTGGTAAATTCCCGAGTTCTAATCAGCTGTTGTTTGCACCTCGCTCTGTGGTTTTGAAATTGTTTGAAATCGATGAACAATAAACTTCCTGTATATACCGAACTGAAATAGCTGACACCGGATGTGTATCGTCGTCGTTGAAAGGTCGTGCAACTAACTGAGCGAGAGATTCTTTGAAGCGAGGCGGGTTGGAATAATTTCATCCATCTTGCTTCGTCTGGAGGAGTCTTGAACCGCTTGCCATTTGCCTATGTGGTGCATTGATTAGTGTATTGATTGATGCACTCGGCTGGGGGGCAAAAGTGTGCCAGAAAGTGGCCCCCAAAGATATCCAGCCACTTGGCAAATAGTTTTAGATGAAATGTATAGTATGTTTTACACCTCCATCGATACTATTTTGGTAATTGTGAAGGCGGCCTGCCCGAACCCTGCATTGTCAATTCGGCCCGAGTGAGTTACAGTATCCCAGCAGACTGTTTTTTTCTTCTTTTTTTGCGCTGCGGATCACTCATACAGCCACTAAGACTGTCGCAATTCTTTTTTTTGTTTTCAAAAAAATTTCAGACCTAAAACCTTATTGCAAAACATTAAATTATGGGGGAAATAGGGGCCTGGTGGTTGGGGGTGGGGATGGGGGTGGAATTGCCCCCGAAACCCCCCACATTTTTTTTTACCTAAGAGGGGGGGGGGGCATACCCCCTGAAACCACGTGAATTGGTCCGAAGCACGGGAAATTACGATGCAATTAGGCTTCGCATAGTTCGAATATAAAAGTGTTTTGCCCAGTGTCGCAAGAAATTACTTTGGTGACTAACGTGAGAGGGATTCATAACGACCACCCAAAATGTCACGTGCACAGAAGGATAGAACTTGATATGCATGTTGAATCATTTCGGGGATGTTAAATTTACTATTGCCCAATAATGTAGAGGAGCCAGTCTGTGGAAGTGGACAATAGTGTGTTGGGGAGCTGGCCTATCAGGTTCCAAACGATTCTTGTAGTTCGTAGAACAGTGTGTCCCCAGCGTGTGTGGCGTAGCGGGTAGGTCCTTCACTGTTGCAAGCGAGAGACTCGAGTGGGAGAAAATTGTATCCAGTCTCTTGGTCTTTCTGCTGGGATGTTGTATCCTTCTCAACTCGGATTGGCCCAGACAGGCAGAGTTGGAAGATCGCGTCCTATATAAGCTGCATTGTGTTGATGGGGGCGTAAAAACTCTTTTTTGTTTTATACGTGTAATTTTTGTTGCTTTTTTTCTTTTCTTTTGTTTTCGTAGCATTAAATGCTGTTAAATGTAAACATACTCGTGTTTCTTCCGGCACTGATTGGTTGGTTAGGTTTTTCACGAATTAGGTGGTGATTTTTTAAAGTTTTTAAAATAATGTTTGTTTTTCAGGGGGTGGTAAGGCTAAGGGCATGTCTCTTAAAAGTATCAGGCTTCAAATATTTGATGTTTGTTTTCGTTTGAATGTCGCCAGGTCATCAGGTGAAGCCGTGTTCTATCAACGGTACCCAGGACACGTGTCAGATGTGTAACCCCCACTACAACCAGTCACAGCGGACCTCCTCCTTCACCATGGACAAGTGTACCTACTGGCCCCTGGACAAGGACTGTAACGACGGTGAGGTCATTCATTCATTCATTCATTCATTCATTCATTCATTCATTCATTCATTCATTCATTCATTCATTCATTCATTCATTCAGGGGGTGGGGGTGAGGGAGGTGAGTGCTCAGGGTTTATACGTGTATACGTAAAAGCGCTGTGTAAATGCAATTTGTAGATTTTTTTAAAAGCTTAATATTCCTGTAAAAGCCCAAATATACT